GTACTGAAAAATCAGTAGCATTTGTATACACTAACAACAATCACTGAGAAAGAAATAAAAAAAGCCACACCCTTAGCATTAACATCCAAAAAATTGAAATACTTAGAAATTAATCTCAAAAAAGTAGTAAAAGATCTATACAGGGAAAATTATAATACCCTGGAAAAAGAAACTGAAGAGGATCTCAAAAAATGGAAAGACATTCGTTGCTCATGGATAGGAAGAATAAATATCATAAAAATGGCCATTCTCCCAAAACTGTTATACAGATTCAATGCAATCCCAATGAAAATACTATCAACATACCTCATAGATCTAGAGAATTCAATCGTAAAATTCATCTCAAACCAGAGATGACCTAGAATAGCAAAAGCAATTCTAACCAGCAAAGGCAAGGCAAGAGGCATCAAATTCCCTGACTCGAAGGTATACTACAAAGCAAGTATAATTAAATCAACATGCTACTGGAATAAAAGCAGAGCTGAAGATCAATGGAATAGATTAGAGGATACAAACACACTAAAAAACTTTATCTTTCATAAAGGGACCAAACATGTTCACTGGAAGAACAACAATCACTTTAATAAATGGTGCTGGAAAAACTGGCTCTCCACATGCAGAAAACTAAAACTAGACCCATGCCTAGCACCATATGCTAAACTAAAATCTAAGTGAATCAATGATCTGAATATTAGTGTTTAGAAACACGAAATCTGTTGGAAGACAAAGTAGATAAAAATCTTGAAGACATAGGGGTAGGTAGAGAATTCATGAACAGAAATCAAACCGCACGGGAACTATTTCCCAAAATCAATAGCTGGGATCACATTTTATTAAAAAGTTTCTGCATGTCAACGAAATCTCCGTCATAGTGAAAAGAAAACCTACAAACTTGGAACAGATATTAGTGAACTGTCCCTCAGATAAAGGACTTCTGTCTAAAACATGTAAAAAAGTAAAAAAAAAAAAAAAAAATCAGACCCCCGAAATTCAAAGACCCAATCCAAAAATGGACATCTGAGATGAATACACAGTTCTCAGATGAAGAAATGCAAATGGCAAATAAATACATGAAAAAATGTTCATCATCATTAGTCATTAGAGAAATGCAAATTAAAACAACACTGAGAGTTCATCTCCCTCCTGAAAGACTGGCCAGGATCAAGAAAACTACCAACAAAATTGCTGGAGAGGCTGTGGGGAAAAGGGAACTCTCTTGCACTGTTGGTTTGAGTGTAGACTGGTGCAGCCATTGTGGAGGTCAGTCTGGAGATTTCTCAGAAAGCTGGCATTGGAAGTACACTTGTTCCAGCTATTCCACTTCTAGACATATTCCCAGAAGAACTGAAAACATCATACCACAGTGATATGCGTGCACCCATGTTTTTAGCAGCATAATTTGTAATAGCCAGCTCTTGGAAACAACCTTAGTGTCCATTAAATGAGGAATGGATAAAAAATATGTGTATTTTTATACAATGGAGTACTGCTCAGCTATAAAGAGTGATCACATTGAGATATTTATAAATAAATGGACACAACTTGAGACCATACTCACTAGCAAAATAAATCAAACTCACATGTATAAATACCAAATAGTCTCCCTAGTATAATAAATAGTAAGAGTACATACCAGTTTATAGTAAACATGATTCCCCATTACATTGCTCTGAAGTCTTATAATGTCTGCATTCATTAGTTTCAATGTTTTTATCCTAATTTGTTTGATTTTATTACCTGTGATAATTTAAACAACTATTTAAAACAAAAGAAGACATTAGGGTAGCCAGAGCTGATTTAGTATCATCTTACTCTGAAGTCCTACTGTGTTTTGTTTTTATGTTTCCTTTGGCTTTATCCTGCTATATCTTATTGGATATTACCATGTGTGATATTATAAATTTTCTATGGAAAATGAGATAATATAGTAGCCATTGTTCATTCTCTGCTTTTTGGTTCTGAAAGCCTTGTAATGCTTCCATTCTCTTGAATGGTTTTATACTGTTTCGTTATGCTTGATACTGTTGTATATGAAGTTATGCTTAACTATTTCAAAGAAAGAGATACTACCATAGTTGTGGGTTGTCTTGTGGTAAAATGTTGTGTTACTTGCATTGTTTGCTTTGTTATGTCCTCTTTTGTCTTAATCTCTTTAAAATAAAAAAATAAAAATATTTAAAAGCAACAGTATAGAATTAAATTTGGGAGGTATGATTTCATTTCATTTTTATTTTTGAGTTCTTTGTATTTTGTAGAAGTCAATCCCTTATGTTAGGAATAACAACCAAAACTTTTACTTTTCCATGGATTGTCTCTTCACCATGTTAGTGGTTACTTTTGCTGTGCAAAAGCTTTTTAATTTGATGTACCCTAGTTGTGGATATTTTGTGTATTTCCTGTGTGGGTAGTATTTTTTTTTCATGAAGCTTATTTCTACACCTGTATTTCACATGTTTTTCCTATTTTACCTTCCAATAAATTAGAATCCATTTTCTAGCAGATGTTTCTGTTTTTATATTAAATTTTTTAATCTTTAAATTTTCATTTAGTTCATGGATAGACATATGGGACTAGGTTCAAGTTTTGGCCTGAGGAAAATCAGTTTTCCCAAAACTTCTTATTAAAGAGGCTATCTTTCTTCAGGTGAAGACATCTGATCCCTTTGTGAAAGATGAGGCAGCCCAGTACAGAAGTACAGAAGCTTAGAATTGTTTCTGCATCTTCTATACTTTTGTATTTGCCCTCTTGTATTTTTTTTTGTTTGTCTGTTTTTCATTTCCCAGTACCTTGCTGTTTTTCCCACTTTAGACCCACCTCACCTCATGGTTTCACCTTATAAAAATCCCTGGAAAATATAGAATCTTTGGCAACCCACTCAGGACCCCTTTTGTGTCTCTGTCTGACAAAAGAATTCTTTCTCTTAATAAATATTTCTGCTCTTAATCTCAGTCGTTCCTAAAATTCTTCAATTTCAGGGAACACAAAATCATACCAGATATATGGTATCTCAGGAGTTTCATTCCTCTGTATCACTTCAGGGGTGTATATGTCTGGGAATTGGTTTTCAAAGTAGAGGTAGTAGGTTAAGGTGGATCTTCAAGAGGTGGAGTGTAGTGGATGGTGCTAGGTCATTCTGAGTCCTGCACTTGGAAAAGCATAGAGTGAGATTTTCCGAGCATAAGTTGCTGTAAAATCATGAGCTCACTCTCTTAAGTCCTTGATTTCTGTTGACTAGTCATATGATTGCTCATTCTTGCACATGCTCTCACTATAATGACATCCTCCATTAGGCCTACACAAGAGACTATATTCAAAGTCTCCAAATTTTGAACAAATAAGTATTATTTGATAATGTTATCTAGATTTAGGTATTTCCTGATATTAATAAAAAATGAATACAGACTGGGATATTTGTAACAGAGATAATAGTAATTCTTTAAAAGGATAGGAGAATTGTGTAATGCTGTATACATGCAATAAGTCTATGAGGAACGTGATCATTTCATATATATATATATATATATATATATATATATATATAATGTAGGGAGAGAAGGAAGCAAAAGAGAATAAAAAAGAAGCAAAGAATGTCATGCATATGTACCTAACTACCCATAATGAACATAATCATTTTGTAATACAAGTGTGCTGTCAAAATTTTTTTTAAAAAGCAAACAATTTAAATATTATTAAAACTTAACAAGTATAATTTCCAGGCAGATTGAATATGAATATAGTTTTAAAAAGAATCAAAAATAATTCTAAAACTTTAAGCCTGTAAAGTATAAAAAAGAAGCTTATATTTGCTAATTGAGGAAAGATAAAGAACAGGTTTAGACATGAGTTCTCTTATTATATAATGTATGTAGCTGCATTTTTAGATACTTTTTAAAACCAGAATAATTGCTATCACCTGAATATTTGTATCTCCCTAAGATTCATATATAAACTTTTCATTCCAAAAGTGATCTTTTTGGGGATTTGGCACCTTTTGGAAGATGATTAAGTAATGAACTAGAATTTTCATGAATGAGATTGATGCCCTTTATGAAAGAGTTCTAATGGTTTTTTTTACCTTATATATAATGTGAAGAGTCAATGTGAAAAAACAGTCTTTGTACAATAAATCCTCATGAAACGTCATTTTCTCATGCCTTGATTTGGGACTAAAAGTCTCTAAATTTGTATTGTAACATCCCAGGATTTTTTTCATACATTGGTATTAACTGATTCTTTCTAATCCAGCCAAATTGTTTTCTTAACTGATGAGTAGAAGAACATATAATGCCAATTATTCAAGACTGTTAACATTAATCTTAGTTTTTAGTTTGATTGAGAGATCTAGAAAATTAATTAAGTTGATTTTTAGGTTTGTAACTAGAGACATAGCCAGAAATAATTGGTAGGTAGGTAAGGAAAATAAAAGGTTGGTGCACCAACCTGATTATGGTTGGTGCACCCCACACACTTGCAGCTAGGATGTAACAAAAGGAGGGAAAACAATGAAAGTCTGCCTGTTCTTGTGAATCACTGGGACTTGAGATGGTATGCTTTTTCTGTTGCCATCAACTGTCGACATCAGATGTCAGCTTACTCAGACTGTGAATATCTATAAACTACCCAGTATACAGTAATTTGTGACAGGAAAAGACTGAAATAAGGTTCTAGAGGAGTTGAAGAACAACATCTTGCTTGTCACTTGTTTTTTAGTCAGAAGATGAAAACATTTTTTCCACTTGAACACATTTGTAATTGAATTGATATTTGAAAATACTTTTGAAAACTTATTAAGTAAAGCATAATCCTTGAAATGTAATTTTATTAGAAGATACCTTCTTTATATTATCCGTATCACTGCTATATTTTACTCACCTTCTTTAGAAATATTTCAGTGAGGTACCGTAAATTCATATTTTAAGGGATCCAATAGTCTTTTATCCATTCTCAGTGTTCTCTCAAACCACACGGATGGTACAAATAAAACACAGCTCTCCTCACAGTGTTGTTCTGAAAAATTTATATGACCTTTTTGCCATTTTTATCAATCATCACCTTTATTGATTTTTTGAGGTTCTCATCCCTAGGATAATGAATTAATTAGTGTCTGATAGTGATATACTTTTTCTTAGAATATCAAACTTATCCAAAACTTCCCTCTTTTAGTAACAAATTTTAATACAGATTTATTTAATATATTTTTAAGTGTTCAATGAGCCACAGCTTTGAATTTCAGAGAGATTCCATAGTGTCTCATGTATTTAATAATGTTTCCAATCTTTAGCCATAAATCTGCATGATGAATAGATTTTGTGTGTTAAGCAAATTAACACTTTTATAAAGTTAGAAATGCTCTAAATTCATATGATTCAACATTACCTAAAACAACTTGTACAACCCTAAAACCTTTGACACAGCTTCTAGACAAAACTCCATGCAGAGTTACTTACATCAGAAATTCTGCCTCAATAATCTTTATCATAATAATTGCCTTAAGGAAAATATGGAGAGCCCTTTTTCAATTTATATAACATTAGAATGCAGTAAACAGATTTGTCTTTGAGCTCTAAAATAGATTATACTTATAAAAATGATCATACATATATAATGATCATACATAAAATTATATATACATATATATGGAAATATAATATAAAAATGTGAAAATTGACACTACTGTATGAGAAAATCATTCTAACTCAGAATTGTTAATATTTTGTGTTTTTAATAACCAATCCTTGTTTTTTATTTTTATTCTTTCATGAGTTGCTTCACTTGTTACAAAATATAATAGATGTTTCAAAATATTTTATCTTACTAAATTTTTTTTATTTTTTGCCTGAGAGTGCTCATATTATTGCACTATGTCTCCACAAAACAAGTAAAGCCTCCATATAAATGATTTCATTGCTTATGTTGCTACTTGACAAAACTTAGGCAGTTTCTCTTAGCAGAACTTCTTGCTCTTATAGGAATACGCTGCCATGCCCGAACATTCATCCCACAGTAAATATATATATGACAGTTTAAGTATACTTTATCAAACTGACATTCCAAATAGAGCTCACTGATTTCTCATTGCTTTAATTAGCATTATTATAAAATGTACATTTCTTTAAAGAATATCTTCAGATTAACACATTAATCTACATATAAATAAGAGAAACAATTCTATTCATGTACTTTAACTTAATATGCACATTTTAAAACTTTACCCCAGCAAAGTTTCACAGTATTATATGCATGCACATATAGTACCCACAAATAACTTTTTGAAGTCATGGTTACAAAAACCCTTTGTAATGGAGAAGTTGAAATTAAATTGATGGAAATTAAATACAAGTAGTAGAGATGAGTAGATTAGCACCAATAATTATTTAAGTAAAATCACTTACAAAATACATAATTCTGAGGCTTAGTATTACTGCGATAGTCACATCAATGATAATATCCACACAAATTGAACTCTAACTATATTTGATTTCCTACCTTATATTAGATATAAACCTGTACAAATTTAATGTCTTCATATTATTCGGTTATAATTCTTGACTTTAAATTACTCATTGTTTCTCTGTGCTCTTTACTTGAATTTTTTGAGTTATTTATAAATTTCCTGTTCTTTAAACAATGTAATTAAACTTTTTATTTTTTTCTTTTTCTTCAGCAAACAAATTTTATATCTTGACTTGCATCACTCTGCTACTATCCAAAGCCTAAAATAAAGCTCCTCTTAGTCAAAATGACCATTATAAGGTATTTATTCCTTTAAAAACTTTAAAATATTGTACATTTTTAAAACCTAAAAATATTTTGATTCATGTAACATTGAAAAAGAAGTTTGCAATTTTCTCTAGTTTTTCTCCTCAAGGATTTGTACTGTTCAATGTCTTCAAAAAGAGTTGACTTAAAAGAGAGTTATTTGTCATTTTGTAAATTACCTTAAATTTAATATTTGAATAGCCCCACGTAATGAATAATGAAGTCATTGATTTTATACTTTAGAAATTTCAAATCTATCCCCAGAGAATGTGAATTTATTCTACATTACAGAGCTTTTTTTTTTCAACCAAAATATTGCCATGTCTGGTGTTTTGCCATAATGATTAGTCCTTAACCAAAGAAATAAATTCACTGTAATGTCTGACAAAGTCATGCCATACAGTATCAGCTCCAATTCCTTTTAAAGGCCTCTCCAAAGAACTAAATTTTTAAAATTAAATTAACCATGAAAAGTGCAGATTTTGATGGGATTTAATGAGAAAAGTAATTTTTTTTCTATCCACAAATGCTATTTTAAAATTAGTTCTCACTTTTGAGAGTTGAGGTTACTTGGAGGTTTATTTGGTGTTTTGCTTTGTTTTGTTTTTGAGCTCCTAAGAATTTTGTCCTTAGTACTTTCAATTAGTCTGGGTTTTTTATTCTCAGGTTTCTAGTGGTAGCTCCACTAAGTCTCTTGAGACTCCAAGAAACAATTTGTTTGATTACATTACATGACCAGTAAATAAAACACTGAAACATGGAAGAATTAATAAATTTCACATGAGCAAGTGCTAGTATCTCAAGAAACCAGACTGTGGAAGAAGAATTGTCTTGAAAGAGCATATCATTAATAAATAAAAAGTGTTATTCTACAAACAAATGTGCTAATGGGTAGCAGCTTTGTGTTTAAGGAAGACCCATCAATAAAATTTAAATACTAATGAAAAAGAGCATGAGAACACTCCAAGCAATGATAAAACACAAACATATTTTAGCATTAGTATATAACTAAGTAGACTTTTTCATAAGAGGATATTTAATACAAATGCCTTTTGCTGTAATAATTCATTTATCTTGCTAAATATTTTGAAAATAATTGGAAAGTAAATGAACGAATATAACGGATTATAAATGCATTTATTCAACAAGTATTTATGGATTCAGGTATTGCTAGACGTGTTGTGAATATTTGCAATTTTTTTCTTAAATTCAACCATTTATTTATAGGTAAGATAATATTCACACCATTTTAAAATTTATTCTTAAAAATAAGTATTCTTTCTTTTTCCTAGATCACTTACACACATAATATTTTATTTTTCCTTAATTATGGATATAATCAGTCAGCAAAATATGTGAATCTTCCTATACAAAAAATTCTCTTTAATAACCTTGAATGTGGTGGTTATCAATCACAAAACGATATTTGTAATTTTATTCTCCAGGGTCACACTTAAGTTTTGTACAAGTTACTGCTTCAAAAAGCTAGACAGGACAAGGCAAAATTTGTATTGAGAAGTTCCTTCTTGTCTTGACCATTAACAGTATACTGGTATGAATTAACACATGCAGTGCATTACATTAACAGTAAATTTTTATCAAACCCTTGTCATTGGTTTGAACTTTTGGAAAGTTTAATCATTTGCAATATATTAAACATAGTTAAAAATGAAATGCATAAGTTTGAAATACCACTCAGATCTGTGTACAAATAATCTGTCTTTGATATTTTTCCAATGATATCTGCAAATTGAATTCAGAGATTTTTCATTGTTTATCACTATTCTAAATGTGTGTATTTTACCTGTGCTTTGGCATATGCTAATTTATCATATCCTTTACAATGGCTGACATTTGGAAAACAGTAATAATTCAAACATTTACATAGTTCCTAAACTAGGTTTTAAATAACTATACTTGATGATTTTTAATTTCTAGAAATGTTTCTAGATTTATACTCAATGAAAGCATTTGTAAAATATCCGGACTAACACTGATATTTGAGGTTTACAAATTTAAATGAAAATTGCTAATGGCTAATAAGGAACAGATAATATATATGATGAAGAATTACATGATGATTTGAATTCTGTTTGAAGGTCCATAGTTTTCATAAGTTTTGATGATCAAAATAGTGTAAAACCGGAAATACACCTCCTGGTTTTTGTAGATTTCCTTTTGTTAATGTACATAGAATATATATAATGGTGTACCAGATTTTTCATATATTTAAACATGATGCAAATTTTTACTTTGCTGTTGAATTCAAACTGAAAGATTCTATAGCTAACTTTCTGAATCTAGTATGTTTTACAATTTTTATAAGAAAGAAATATTCATCACAGCATGGTAATTTAAAAACAATGTAAAAATTAATAAATTATCTAAATCTCATTCAATAGCAAATTGTTGATTTCTAATTTATTTTAAAGAGAAATATTATACAGGCACTATAATAATAATGCTGATTGACAGAGGCATAATAGGGTAGTTATGGTTCAGTTTAAACTAAAAATACAAAATAATACACATAGGGATTTTTTTGTAAGAATTGTGGATATAACTGAGGATTTAGCTCAGTGGCATAAGTGCCTGACTGGCAAGCTCGAGGTTGTGATTGCGGATATACTTAGAAGAAATATGTGGAATGATACACTTGGGAAGGCCTCAAACACACAGCAGTCCTTCTGCCTTAGCCTCCTAACTGCTGGGATTACAAGAACTTACCACCATGCCTGGCAAGAGTGGTCATTTTAAATTTTGATAATTTTGCCTCCTTTTATAATGCATATATTTTATAATGAGCATTTATCATGTTTATAATCAACAAAACCTGTGATTTCCATTTTGGAAATTCTTAATAATAAATATAATTATTAGATGAACAATTATATTGATTCCTCAGTTTATGAAAACTTTTGTTTTTATTTGCAATCTATGTCTGATGACAGACACAATCACAGGCATCTTTCCTGAACAAACACAAACTGGACATCTTTTCCAAAATCATGGAACAAATGTTTGTGATCTGAGGCACCACTGTACATAAAAGCAGCTTATTATCATTATTTTATGGTTCAAAAGCTAACAACAGTGTTAAAAATTTATATATTTATAGTATAAGAAAATCAAGGTTCATATATAATACATAACCTACTACAACAGAGACAAAATATTTTCTTGTGGTTGGATCTGTTTTATGAGACAATCATGCACTTTTAGAATAATGGGTGAAATTTTATATACATTAGTTATTTTTCTACTTCATAAATGTATTTTTATGGTATTATATAAAAAAGCTAATACAAAAATGACAAAAATATGTGTAATATGGGTGGAAAGCAGACAGTGAGGGAAATATTAAACAGCAGGTGAAATAATAATTACAGGGCATTTTATGTAACTGAAGTACCAAACAAAACATTTTTCTCCTGAGCTTCCAAGTATCCCAAACATAAAGATAATTCAGTCCATAATTCTCATATAGTGGTAGTATATGATTTAGTCAATACAGAACCTTTTCCTTAACTTTCAAACATCTCTGAATATATAAAGTGAATATATTCAAGAATTTACAAGAGATAGTATGTTTCTCTACATCATTCTATAGACTATTTACATTTTACATTGATATTTGATTGAGGCTAAAGATAAAATATTATCTGCAGTAATGGCAAGTGAGTGTAGTTACTCACTTTTATTTTTAATTTAATATAATATAAACGAGGCACTAGAGAATCCAGAAATATGAGTGGTAAGAATTGCCCATAGTGTCTTCAACTGTAAAACCTCTCAGAAAAAGTTTTTAGCTTTAAAAGCCACTAACTGAAGTGTTAAATTTTTTAAGGTATAGATTAAGAAAACAGACATAAAGCTAATAAAAACAAACTTAACACTAGTCAACATCACTAAAAAATCTGTAGTATGTTCACAATATAGTTTAAAAGGAAAATAAATAAAGAAACTTCATATCTTTTAAAAACCAACTTATTTTAAAATAATTTAAAGAAAATTATGCACAGAATCTAACTGGATGGAATACATTTTTTCCTGCCCTAGTGATTTATAAAAAAGCAAGTTAAAAATTTTCACCATGATACTTTTGTCAAGGTCATGGTAATACAGTTTTCAAGGAGGTAATTAATTTAGTATATTTAAATAAATAAGGAGGGAAATACATTCCATCAATTTTCTTACCTTGGCTGTTCAGGAAAAATGTGGAGGAATACATTTTATTTTATGTATTTCTAAGGACATTATATCAAAAAATAGTACAAAATGACTTTACAATTAGAAATTATGTTCTTCACTTACATGAACAAGATTATCTAGTTTCATTTTGTTTTCAAAAGAAAGTATTCACTTAAAAATAACACTTTTGATTTGACACAAAATAAACCCTTATTATAAAGGTAGCCAAACTAAGTAGCATCTGCTAAAGTTGAAAAACACTGAGCATTCTGATTTTCACCACCTGCGCCTAACCTGGCCCAGTGTGACATGCAAGGGTTTGGAGCCCACTAAGCGACCATTCATCTCTTCCACTGCTTTGGTGGCCTCTTCAAAGGAAGAGAAGCAGATGACACCAAACCCTTTCCCTTGTCCCACTTCCATCATCACCTTAGCTCGGCTAATAGATCCAAATGCAGAAAATTCTTCTTTCAGTTTTTCCTCATCTATGGTCTCATCCAGGTTCTTAATATAAATAGGCACGCCTGGAGGCCGACTTTTTTCTTTTAATCTCAGCCTTTCAAACCTCCGCCTTAATTCAGCCAAACGTTCAATTTTCTTCTGTGCTCGTCCTACATATAGAACTTTCCCATCCACTGATTTTCCATGAAGGTCTAACACAGCCTTTTGAGCAGCGTCATGTGTCTCATATCTCACAAATCCAAAACCTTTAGATTTCCCACTAGCATCTCTTACTAACTTAACGCTCTCAGTTTGCCCATATTCACTGAAAAGTGTCTTCAGTTTTTCATCATCCATGTCATCTCCAAGGTTTTTAACAAAAACATTGGTGAAAGTTGCTTTATCCCTGGTTCTGACTTCAGCTGCTCGTTCTTCGGGGAATTTGAATCTGCCAACATACACTTGGCGGTTGTTGAGCTGCACTCCATTCATGTGCCAGATAGCCCTATTGGCAGCAGCCAGACTGTCAAAATGTACATATGCATAACCCTTAGAACCATTGTCATCACAAACGACTTTACAGGAAAGAATGTTCCCAAAAGCAGAAAACAAATAAAAGAGACTCCTATTATCTATGGATTTGTCCAGGTTTTTGATGAATATATTTCCAACTCCAGACTTTCTTAAACGGTCATCTGGCTGTGACCACATGAGGCGGAATGGTTTGCCATTAATCAAGTCAAAATTCATGGTGTTCAGGGCCCACTCAGCATCCGCAGGAAAACGGAAGTTAACATAGCCATAGCCCAGAGGACTGTGAGTCACTGGGTCACGGCAGATTCTGGTGAAGCGCAGAGGGCCAGCAGGCCTGAACTTCTTATAGAGCATGTCCTCAGTGACTTCTGGATCCAAGTCACCCACATATAGGGCTGCTTTGAGGTACTTCTTTTTCTTGCCTGCAGGATTAGGCTCCCCACTCCCCATCTTTCTGAATACAGGAGGCTTTCAGAGGAGAGAAAAAGGCTGCTTTCTCTAATCTATGGACCAAAAAATCTGTTCAGGAACAGAAAAAGCCAATTCAGGTGAAGGGAAGCTAAAAGCAGACTCAGAATCACTGTTGAGGCTGAGAAAATGAAGTTCAGAAACAGCTGGTCAGCAGACTCAGAACAAATGCATCAGACATAAAGACATCCCATAATGAATATGTTCTCCCTAAGGGGCCTTAAATGTTTCGCCCGTTCAAATTTAAAACCAGTTTCAAAAATCTGCATTAGATATGTAATTACTCTTTCCCCGTTTAAAAAATTACCAAGCAACTGGCTGCTTACATCTACCTAGCATTGTTGACAGAGGCCTTGCAATCGGTTTTTTGCATAAATACAGGCGTCAAGCTCCTGTTGGTTTAAATAATTGTATCAACAAGGACCCGAGTATGTATTCCTCCGCTGGCTGCCTGGCTGCTCCCCGGAGGGCTCCCAACTTACTAAAAGACAGCTCTGCCCTCAGCGTCAGCGAAAGGGTACACTGGACACTTGGTGTGCTGGGACAGCAGGCAGGCTGCAGACAGCGAATCAGACAGAGAGACAGACATACAAACGCGCAGGGAACCGGAGACCGCCCAGATACCCAAGATGCCCACTGGGTACGGACCAAGTGAGGCGCGGTGATTTCTGCAGCCTGAGGCTGGCGGCAGGTCCGGAGGGACTGACTGGCAGACGCGCAGAGGGTCAGATCAGACGCGAGGCGGGTCCTACGGACGCAAGGCGGAGTCAGCAAAGAAGCGCGGAGGCTCCGCGGCTGGCAGGCCCAGTGGGGAATGATAGGTAAGGGTCGCTTTGTGAAGGACAGGCCAACCCAGGGACCAAGGGCCTGTAGCTGGGGGTTGGCGGAAGGCGGGCGGAGCTCAAGGAAACCCGGAACACCGTGCTAAGTAACTTCCCGCTTGCGTATGCCAATGCCAAGATATTAGACACACACACCCGTCCCTGGGCGGACACGCACACACACACACACACACACACCATATTCATTTTAGAATTTTGCTGTTTAAAATATATATTTATTATACATTTTAAATATTTAGACTATTCTTCACAAAGTCGTAGAAGGAGTTCATGCCAAGGGCAGAAAAAGCATATAATAATAATAATAATAATAATAATAATAATAATAATCCCCTACATTATTTTTGTTTAGGGAAGAGAATTTAGGTCCGATATTTTCCTGAACGCAGTGTAAAGGTAAAATTCACAATTGTGCTGGGCTCCAGATCAAGTGCTAAAAGACCACATGGTCAAATCGAATACAGCTGCAGTCACTTCGTGCTTGATCTTGATCTTTACTGGATTAATACACAGCATAATGGTAGAATTATCCCTGGGTAGTGGACAGAGCTCTTTTGTTTTCTTTGGTGACATTAAAGTTTTAATAGTGGAGAAACAACAAATGTCTTTTAGTGGTACTTAGTTCTAAAAAATGAAACTATTGAGATGCCTTCATAATCACTGTTATAAAATCTCAGTTAAGGAGCTAAAAGCTGCAAAAAACAATGCAACATGTATAATTAATATCCATAGGCGACTTAAACATGTTAAGATAAAAGAATTTAATATAAATTTCAACCTAACGTGAAATTTAAGCCATTATAAGATAGAATCGCCTGAGGAGCGCCAACTGAGGTTTCCCATAAAATACAGTATTCACAGATCCTGAGAAACTATTATGGAGAGATAGTTTGCTCTAACTTTAGAAAAATCACCAAGATCTATTATCACACACAAAAAAAATCCTTGAAGTGCCTCTCCTACCCCCAAATCTCTCCTTTATCAAATAAAATAAAAACTAAACATGTATCTGTATATTTAGACAGAAAAAGATCCTGAAGATAAAAGGCAAGAAAAGATTATGTTAATAGTATTTTCTTAAGAATTCCTTAGGAAAGCAAGCTAAATTCTTGTACTTCTTCATTTTTTACATTTCATAGATTGTGTTAAACTGTATACTTGGGTGGGGTGGCACTTACCCTCTCAAATTACTCAAAAATTTTGGAATATTTTTACTGTGTTCTTGTGCTCACTTTTTAGAGCTTTTGATCAAGACATAAAAGACTATATGAAAAAAGGCAACTATGAATAGTATTATAGAGACAGACTAATAAACTAGTCTTAATATGTTAACACTATGACCAACATGTGAAGGTACTTATGGGGATATAGTCACTTTATTATATTTTAAACACCTTTCCATGGCTGACAGTGTAGCTCAATGGTTGTGTGCTTGCTTTGCATGTGTGCCACTCTGAGTTTAATTTTCAATACACAAAAATAAATAAGTAAAACTAAATATATTTAATTATTTACATTAACAATGGGTTAGAACTCTATTCTGGCCTTTACTTTAGCATTTAAAGGTACTGCTTCATTGAAAGTGGTATATTAAAATTACAATATAAATATATAAAAGAATAATTTTTAGTCTGAATACTGACACTAATTGTTATTTTCATTTGTTTTTATAACAAACTAAATGCTCACACTCAAGTTGATTTATAATTTCTAGAAAATTGTGTATTTTGCTTGGTAAGCACAGGATTGTGAGTTCAATCCTTGGTACAAAAAAAGGAAAAGAAAAAAATTATGTATGTAAAATTTTGAAAACCATCTTTCTACATTTACAAAAAGTTTGGTAGTCATTACATTATAGTTAATATAAACTATATTTTAAAAAGTTAATCAAAGATCAGAAATTTTGGACTCATTTGAAATAAATGAATTTCAGTAAAATCTTCTTGCCTAGCAGAATTTTAATACGAAGAGGAAAATGTTTTCAGATAATTTTTAAATAATTTTGCTATTTACTTTCAAAAGACTTTGAAGTGAGAAAGTTAGATATACAACATTTCATATATAAATGTTATATACTGATGGCAAGCTTATAGTTTATGCAAACCTGATTAATGTATTAAAATCTACTGAAAGTCTTGAATCAAATATTCATGCAGTTCACTGAGCCATGTTGAAGACTTCAAATTTGAGAAACATTTCGAATTAGGAAAATATCATAGACAACTAACATTCTCCACACATTTCATTACCTGTTGTTATTTATAGTGTTAGTAACATGTAAGCATGAGTGGAGAAAAAGAGAGATTACACATATGTTTTTCTTTTTTGTCTTAAGAAACAACATCGTGTTCCCAAATAAAAATCTCATGAAATCAAGCTTAGTATTCCTTGTATGGCCAAAATATCATAAAGTAGGAAAGAACTTTACAACATAGGGCATGGTTCATATGTTTGTGTGCAAATAAAGACAAAGAAATTTGATATTAAGAATGTGATTTTAAAAGACATTTCTAGACTTACTTTGGAAAGATAGGTAATTTATTTTATAAATCTCAAAAAATATTTATTCTAAACGTGAGAATTTATGTACTACATGATAATCCTGAGGTAATTTGGTAACATTAACCATTAAAACTATTACAGCATACTTATTTCCTCATACCTCCTAAATTGAGAAATTGACCAAAATAGAAAAACTGTGAACAGAATTTATAATAAATGATTTGTATTAAATTACCAATAAAGCATAATATCATATTCTCTAATATTTTATCTCAAATTCTAGTATTATCAAATTATAAAATTAGAGTTTAAATGTTTACTTAAGGCAGTTGGAATAATATATAACTTTATAATTCTAAGGATTGTTGTAAATTAAGATAAACACTTCAGGAAACAGTTAAAATATTTTGAAAAAAGAAAATATAAAAGTGCCCAATTAATCCACCAAAAAATGCTCAACCTCACTTGTCACCAGGTAAGCACAATTCTCAACTACAATGAGATAAAATTTCTCCTGAGTTGGAATGGGTAACATGAAATTCAGTAAGAAAAATAAAGAAACATGCTGACAAGGAGTTAGAGAAAAGACTACTCTTCACTGAATCCAGGAATGTGAGTCACAAAAGACATTGTGGAAAATATTATGGAAGTTCCTCAAAGAAATAAAACTAGCAGGATACACTCTCCCACTTTTGTGTATAAATTCAAATGAAACGAAATCAGCATACCAAAAACATACCTGCATTCTCATATTTATTTTAGTACCATATGTATCATCTAGAATATGAAATCAAAAGAGATACCATTAGCAACTGAATGAACAAAGAAAAAGTGTTATATAGCTACACAGTAGAATTCAGCTATCTGAAGAATTAAATACTGTCATCTGTAGGAAAATGAATGAGACTAGAGAACAATACATTAAGTGCAAAAAGCCAGAAAGTATTCCGATTACATGTTCTTGCTCTGATGTACAAGCTTCAAAAACTAATTTCATAGAAACAAATGCTGTGACCCATGCAGCTCTGGATGTTCCCAGGGTGAGGACAGTGAAAGGATGGAGAAAATGGACAAAAGTCAAAATACAGAAAACTGAGGCCATGTGAAGCCCTGTCTACTGATGGGAAGGACAAAGAAGGAGAAAGAAGGAGGAGTGAGAGGAAGGGGCAAGAGAGCTCCAATGGCTCCAGCACATTTATCTATACACTTGTGAGACTATGTTATGAAACATGTCTGTCTAAAAGCTTATCCACGTGGCTTGTTGCAGGTGCCCAATGTTCTTGATATCATAGCAGTTTATCCATGTGACTTGCCTCAAGCACCCAGTGTTCTTGAGATTAGCCTTGCTCTGGCCCTGCATATGATCAATCTTCAACTTCAGCTGCTCCCCATATCTCCCTGTTTTCTGTTTTTATAGTTGTAAATGATATGTAGTTATTTGAGGCTAGTGGAGGTGTGTTTAGAGAACTCTGCAAACAATCTTTTCATTCTTGAATCCTTTTCATTTTGAGTGGACTTACTTATTCAGGCTAAAGTTTTGCAACCCAGGAATTTTAAGTTACTGCATTTAGTAATTTAATCTTGATGCATAACAGTAGTCAGATGCTAGTGTGGCTAGCAATTGTTAGAAGGTATTAGTTATTTAAGTTTCTTTTAGCTAATATTTACTATGGCGTTGTTTTATACCTCTTATAGTATACTTTTCTGCAAGATGATCAAGATCAAGTTAAGGCAAGACCTGTATTAACTACAGTCAATCTCTTGTTGTCTATCTAGGGCAGTTAAGTCTCTCAGGAATTACCTTGAAACCATACACAGCACCTCTTAGTACTTCTGTCAGTTACATCCCTCTAGATGAGTCATTGCCATTGCTTGACCAAGTTGTTTTCTGTGAAAGCTTGGGGAATTTTTGTTGCTTAGTGACTCTCCTTAGGCACACTATATACTGTGGATCTTTATCTTCTATGGTCCTACAATCTCCATCATCATGAGTTTTTAGTACTCAGCAAAGCTGCAAGATATTGCTGTAAAAGTTCCCTCATGTTCTGTGTCCTTATTTACCTCTGAAAGCTGGGACCAAAATATTGGTTGTCTTCTTAGCTCCTCTGTCTTTCTAGTTTCTTGTCTCCATGCCTCAATTGCTGAAGATCCAGAAGAGATGATTAATTACACATCTTGTAACAAGAGAAGTTAGCTTAATATTACTATTTTATCTGAATAGCAAATACCTTTGAACATGAAATAGAACCATTATTTGCTAACAACGATGGACGCTCCAAAAGTTGAATCTGTAGATAGCTAACTGACAATAGGTACATAATTTTACACAGAAAAATTTAAATCCAAATCATACATAATATTGTAGCATGACAATCATGGTGACATTTTTGTGGTATACTTAAATTTCCATTTTAACATAGTAGAGCTCTTTTAATCAATCATCTCTATCTTATACATAATAAATTTTACCTAACTTAGTGACCTTTAATGAGAAGTAACTGAAAAAAAATTGTGACAATGTCTGCACCACTTAATGTTTAGGCATCTTTAAGTAGAGTAGCGCACATACAATTTA